ATTTGTTGTAATGACAGAAATGAAGTATTAGTGATACAAGAGAAATATTTGTGGCCTTTTAGGAAGCAAATCACATTGGAAGTTACCAGGAGGACTAGCTAATACAGGTATTTTTGGATGCTGACCTTATAATCTGGCAGGGATGCTGCCTGCTAATGTATTCCAAAAAATGACTAGTAATTTGAGTTCTCATCTGCATGTGTGTGTATCCATCTTTATGTCTAGAACCATGCATTGACTGATCACTTTCAAACAAGACAAAAACATATGTAACTTCCATAATGCAGCAGTCACCATATTTCCAATGATATATAGTAGATAATCGTAGACCTAAGTAACTATTAAAAATAGGTAGATGTTTCAAGCAATGCACGTAACATGTTCTATTGTGGAATCATTTAGTCATTCTACTTTATAGTTGTTGTACGTGTTCTTACGTTTTTATGTTCTACCTATTTTCAATAGTTACATATGACTATGATTACCAAATATTATCTACTCTATAGCAGTGTTTATTTATTACCATATTTCCAAGATAGATAAAACAGAAGTTTCTTGTCGATTTGCAGCGATCAAGTCAATTGTTTTCTGTATAGCAAAATTCAAAACAGCAATACATGACAGGATGTGTTGTAGTGAAGGAAATAATAAACTAGTAGATAAAACTACACAATGCATCTTGATTACCGGTAGTATGACTTGCAAACATGGTAACTTTCAGATGAGATATTTGGCTAAGCTATTCTAAATTTAAAGTGCTTTCCACTAAGTTGTACTGTCTGTTTTTTAAGGGGAAGATCTAAGAGAAACTGCACAAAGAGAAGTGATGGAGGAGACCGGCATCGAGTCAGAATTTGTATCATTACTGTGCTTTCGACAAAAACATGATTATAAATTTGGACGATCTGATTTGTATTTTATTTGCATCATGAAAGCAAAGACATTAGACATCAGACCATGTCCGAATGAAGTCAAAGCATGTCAATGGATGAAAGTGAGTCAACTTGAACCTTCAAATTCAATTAAGAGCATCAACCTTTTCCGAGAAGCTGTTCTTTTTTTAGGTTTCCACAATTCGACATAGCCCTGATTGTTAATATGCTTCATTAGCCATGCAAATGTATTCAAATGTCACACACGTTATGGAAGACACTGAAAATAAAATGCTATGTTCATTGACAACAGCATGCTGGAAATTCTTCATAAGTAGATGATTGGCAATGACATCACTTTCAATCAGATTTCAAAAATAGTCAATGCTTTGTGTTTATTAGATACTTTGGAAAGCACATGAATTTTAGATACCAAGCATTCAACAAGTTTCAGCCTCTATTGACGTCACACTTCGTCACCTGTGCACGAGTCAGATGGCCTTCGCATGTTATTGTTTACAAACCAGCATCTTCCCATGAGCCTTTGCGATGTTAGCACAGGTGACGACTCTCTCAGCTTTAAATTATAACATATTTTGGCCTTTGACAAATCTCTGATATTTACACAAGCCTTTGTCAGTGTTGAAGCAGTATTAAATCAACAACTGTTTGGTAGTACTGTAGAATACTTTATTTTCGCTATTTTCGCTGAAGGGATGATTCCGTGAAAATAAAATCCAGCAAATATACTTTTTTCCCTATATTTCACATTGAACTCATCAAAAATCAGTGACAATGAATTCCAAGCGAAACGCCCAAAAAGCTATTTCAGCGAAAATAAAGTATTCCACAGTATCTATAATTTCCATCATAGAAGCGCTTCGTCACTAGAGAACGCTTTTTTTAGGAAAGGTGTATTCTATAATATACATAATGATTCAAGTTTATCTCACTTCATCAATAGATTGAAGACTTTGCATCGCATCCAGATGTCACAGACACCAATCGATTCATTATAAAGTCTTACATGGAGAGTTTGAAACATGAACATCACATAGTTCCCACAGACGTTCTTGACTATAGACGCAAAATAACACAGCCTATCTACAGCATCAAGGCACAAACAGACTACTAGAGATACGGTTACTCAGGAATAAAACACTGACAAATGATTTGTCACCAATGGGTTAACATTCACAACTCATTCTCAGGCATGACACATAGTGTTACTCAGTTTTAAAGCATTAGCAGAACTTTCAGGTTATATCCAAACCTTTTATAAGGGTTTTGAGAGACACTGATTTTACTCTCATCAAAATAGGTAATGCAATACTGCAAAGTAAAGTGAGAATAACAACTCAAGCGTGCTAATGGCATGAAGTACAAAAAAGGACCATTTAAAATTCATTACAGATTTAGTTTTATTATTTGTTTCTTCAACCAGATGCATGTCTGCTGTTATAGCTTTGTCCTCAAGATGCACTATTTGAAAGCAATCTGACTTGCAATACTAGGGTTTATAAATACTAATAGCTTGGTAATTAAGATACAAGAAAATTGTCAAATTTAGGCAAATTAGGTAATTAATATGCATGGTATTTATGCTTTAGGTTACAAGTACAAGGTCTGTGGATTCAAAAGCACATGTGTATCAAGTTTCATTGAAATTTTCTGATTTCTACTTGAGATACTGGTAGAAAACTTGTTATGCAAATTAGGTAATTAATATGCACAGATTTTAACCCAAACCTTATCGGGTCTGTGCATTGCCCCAGGACATCTATATACTAAGTTTCATTAAGATCTGATAAGTGGTTCTTGAGGTATTGGCTGAAAATAAACACAGGAGTAAACAAATGTTACATTCTATCAAAACTACATCGTCCCAAGAATCGTGTCTCGTACAACAGCAAATGACAAGACTTCATTACCATGATAACTATTACATTCACACATGTTACACAAACACAGGATTATTCTGACAATTTTATTGTGACAAGTGGTTAAATAATTCTGTCAACTAGAGATTTCTCACAAGAATATCACTATGAAATTTCTATAACAAAAAAAAATCATTTCTGTAAAGTATTTACAATGTTTGTTTTTTTTCAGTTTGTAAATTTTATTTACAAAGACCATTAAATGCACTATATTTTTACTATGTAAATTGAAACTGAAATAAAATATAAAGATTTTCAAGTACACAAAGCTCTCATCTTGAGACTCAACAGCTGTGATGAACTGAACTTTTGATATAAATGCAATCAGTGGATTGAATGACAATCCATTGTCGGTTTGACACACCACCTGCTAAAAGGTTCCATAGATAGCTACCATGAAGGGACCATCAGAGAACAGTAATCTCAATACCCACAGCTGAAGAACAGCAATAAAATTAATCATAATGGTAGAGTGGAATCTAGTTTTCTATATGACCTAACAATCTGATTGTATTTTGTCGCCCGACTAATCAAGCCTTTACTTTATCATTTACCGAGGGCACCAGCAGACACGAGGTGGCAGTTTTGAAAACTTTTGAATAGTTCAAATCAGAGGTAGAATACTTATTTTGTCATGTGCACACTCAAAAAATTGACAAAAGCCAACACATAAAAATTTACTACAGGAAAGTTGAAGGGGTGTTCCACCCTCAATAACACCCAAAATACAGACTAATCATTTTGTACCTTGTTACAAAATACTGAAATGTAAAAATCAATTTTTTTTTTTTATCAAGAATCATCAAAATCCCTTCTTGTAGGTATACAATTGATTATGTTTCAGTGGTTGGTCAGCCAGCCGACATTATTTCAGGTCGATCAGCCCATCACAGCTGATTCTGACATTATCCTGATAAGAATGGAAACATTACACATGATAACCAATAAATTCTGGTGTCTATAAATTAGTCACAACACAAAATGAATGAAAAACAATATATACAGACGAAAAGATCTGATGATGGAAAAGCAATCTGCATGTATAACTACTTTTGAATGGAAACATAGGGGTTTTTCAGTTGTTTCATAAAAAATATGCAAATTTCTTTTCCACATCTTGAAACAAAATTAGCTGCCCAAGTATTTGGCATGTTTCATAGATACATAACTTTCAATTATTGAATAAACACTTCTTAACAAAATTCAAAATTGTTTCAAATAAATGAAGTTTGTAAATCTATGAATCCAGCTCTTGGTAAATTTAAATAAAAATGAAATCTGTTACCATAGATACCTTCATTTAAATGTCAAACTTGCATTGAAATATCACCAGAGTAAAAAAAACAAAAACAAACAAACAAGCAGCCTCTCGGCTGAGATAGCTCCGCTGTTAGCAATGCACATTTCAATTAAAGAACAGAAAGTATCATTAAAAAATGAACAATATGTATAGTATCAAAACAATCAGACTTGCGATGTGGAAAATATCACTTTTTACCAAAAATGACAAAAATATTTACCAAAATTAGAGAATTAAATATATCATTACAAAATGAACAAAACTGAGAGAGGTCCACATGTAGTACCTATATATGTAATATCAAAGCAATTGGACATGTGGTTTTAAACAAGAAGTCGAAAATATCACGTTTTACCAAAAATGACAAAAATATTCACCAAAATTAGAGAATTAAAGATATCATTACAAAATGAACAAATCTGAGAGAGGACCACATGTAGTACCTATATATATAATATCAAAGTAATTGGACTTGCGGTTTTAAACAAGAAGTCGAAAATATCACTTTTTACCAAAAATGACAAAAATATTCACCAAAATTAGAGAATTAAGGATATCATTACAAAATGAACAAATCTGAGAGAGATCCACATGTAATACCTATATATGTAATATCAAAGCAATTGGACATGTGGTTTTAAACAAGAAGTCGAAAATATCACTTTTTACCAAAAATGACAAAAATATTCACCAAAATTGAAGATTGAATTGAATTGAATTGAATTGAAGATATCATCATAAAATGAACAAATCTGAGAGAGGTCTACCCAATACACCAAGTATCAAAGCATTCAGGCTTGTAGTTTTCAAGAAGAAGTCGAAAAAGTATAACATTGACACGGACGACGACGGACAATCACTCATATGATAAGCTCCGCTCGACAAAGTCGACAGCGGAGCTATAAAAATGATTTCAAGTAGCGCCAATGGCAGTGGCAGCCATATTGAAAAGCAACAATACCAATTTCTAAAGTAAACCATTCTGATCAAATTTATTTTTTACCATAGAGTGACAAAAAAAACAATGACAATAAAAATCAAAAAAGACTGATGAGAATTACTCTATTTTGTTACACTGTATATAGATGTACTGTCAATTGCCTATCGGTTGTTTTCTCGGCTAGGAATTGTCGTGATTTGATGGCATTCGTGAAGACAGAATCTCGTTAAAGTTGCTGACACAATGTGTATAAACCAAGAGAAATTTTCAATGCTAAAAATATCATGAATTTCACAAACTCATGAAAATTCGTCGTATGTGAAATTAAATAGGTTTACTGTATATCGAACATCGCTTTCATGGCCATCCAAATCTCAGTACTGTAAAATCTGTATTAGAGACCGCAGCTTCTATTAAAATGGTACAATGCAACGGAAGGGATGGGGACATACGAGAAATGATGAATTTTTGGTTCTCAATTATTCAAAAAGAATGGGTATGGTACGACTTCTATAAGGGATGTAGCTTCTAATACAGATTTTACGGTATTTTGAATGTGCATTCAAGATCTTTGATTCGTCTGTGATCACATGACTTGAACTGCCATGAATATACGAAATGCATCATTTTACTGGAATAGATAATTGGCCCAAACAGAAGTGAAGTTATGTCTGTCAATCTGTGTATTGTGTTTTACAAATGCATTATATTTTCAAAATTTGTCATAGTTCCATGGAAATGTTTTCTGGATTTAATGTGTGAAATTAAGTGAAAACTCTCCAAAGTCACATGCATTCCTCATAGTGAAAATTGTAACCATCTGAATTCCTTGAAATGCATATCACATACTAGACAGCAAAAGATGGCCACATAATACATTTTTTCTAATGAAGAAGCACTTCTGTGCTGTTTTAATTACATACATTGCTGTGAGCAATGTTGTTTGAGCAGGCAAATCTGCTTGATTGCAAAACTGGAAAAAAAAATTATATTTTATTGACATAACTCGCCAGATGAAAATAATGGCATCCATTAAACCAATTAACATCACAGAATTGCTTTTGTTACCAGAGAAACAGTGCATCTTCATCATGTGATACCCCAAGAATGGTCTTATCTAAAACAAACTTACAAGATTTACCAGTAACCACCCCTGGTAATGCCATAACACAGTGGCAAAATATAACACCACAAAATAAATTTGCAATATAGTGTATCTGAAAATTTTGCACACTAAATAATGAAACAACTCAAAACACACACAAAACTGCCTTGTTTTTCAAAATGTACAACTTGAATAAGATCTTTTCTTCTACATACGGTCAAAATCTCTTGTTTCTTAGGAAATTTGTGAAACTAAACACAAGGTTTTCATCATATAATTAATATACGAAATGATACAAAAGTAGACGACCACCATTTATTCTTCAACTAGGACTAATTGAATGAGATGGACATTAACACCACTCGCCATGTCTACAACACTAATGAATCCGTATCGTAATCAACCACATTTGGGGGAAAGTCACTGGGACTCCCAAGTGAAATGTCACCAGCTACAATACTTTGCCATTTTACCCTATCTTGTGGTGATTATCCTCTTGCAAAATTAAACTGGTTTACAGTAAAGTTGCGGCTGGAAAGTACCGGGTAACTGTTTTATTTGTAACAAATAGGGGAGTGCTTAAAACACAAATGAAGAGTTGAGATACAAAATGGAGCAATAATGATAGGGGTTGGGCCAGCAGCAAAATAGTTTTCCCCCAAAAGCTCTTCCTGAAGATCAGCTTTGTGCTTAGATACAAACACTTATACAGAAGTTATCTTAAAGCAGGCTTGTGATCAAGTCATTCCTACTAACAGTCGATAACATTTCAATGCAATTTATAATTTTCATGATTAAACAAATTATCATGTCACCAAACATGGTGTCGTATATACAAAACAATGAATCAAATACGGTCTCATACAAACAAACAAATCTCCAAATATGGTTCTTTTGATGGCATATTACTCCCAAATATGGCATTCTATGGTCAAAATATGATCATAATAACTTGTCCACAAAATATAGTGAAATTCTCAAATAAAAAAAATATTTGGAAGAACGGTGAAATTAATAAGTGGAAAAATTCCTCTTACAATGATGAAGTCTTACAATGAGGCTTGACTTAGTATCATGGCAAAGACGAGGGTAAGTGAGTAAGCAAATGAGAGGGCGCTGTTTATAGAGTGATGCAAGTTTTCAATTGCAGTAAAAACGCATCAAATTTACCAAGAAAACAAATCGACTACCAAAACCATTCATTCATGTAATATGTGAAGTATCATCAGTTGCAATGTACTTGCATTTTCTTTTCTCTGTATTCTCTCGAGATTCGAGAGCTTGCATATCTAACATGAAATGTGATTAATTTACATTGTAACAATTTGTCGATGACTTTTGCTTTTCTAGACGACAATCTGTTCCACTGAGCTGAGCATGCTGGAACAGAATTTGAGCATGATAATTGTGATGGTGCTGGGTGTGGATTATCGTAGCATCATGCTCATTCGGTCATCATCTTCCATCTCAATAACTTCAAACTAAAGTACTAACAAAATGTACCGAAACGCCAGTTATTTTTTTTCTCATATCCGAGTGATCAGCACACAATGTAGAGAGAATTCCTAGAGTATGACAGGCATACTACTTGGTGCTATGCTTTTGGTGATGATTGAAGGCTTAGTTACAGTTGCTGTGGCTGCTGTTGATACCATAGGAACACGCACAGTAGATACTGGTAATGATGTAACAGTTGGTGGTCGTGAAGACGTCTGTAAACTAACTGGATTTTTCTGTGCACCTAATGTTATTTCGGATTCCTGAGATAGTGAGGCTTGGAGAGCCAATACACAATTACTTGGGATCAAACAACCTAGGGAGAGAAGGGCAACAAAATTAATAAATATTTTTTTCTTTCAAGTCCACTTCTGTTTAGTTCAAACAGGTTTAACATATATGTTGATGTGTTAGGAAAATTACCTACCCACAACTTTTGTACCGTCTTCGGCTCGAAGACGAATAAGTTGAACCTTTGAGTTGTTACCACCTTGAGAAGCGAGAACATTTTCAACTTTGCTCCAGACACTGAGTACTGATCCAGACAGGATGTGGAAGGTTCTCCTACGAAGTCCAACTTCACAGCTTAAACCAAGCATCTTCTTCTTGCAATTGCCACGCCTACATACAAAGAGATAAACATTGACAGAGAAATAACACTATTGGTAGCACATCAAGAGATGAAATCACTTTGGAAGTATGCAACTTAGTTTATTTTCCCAATAAAAATAAAAGCATGGAAAATCATATTTGTCGCTGATGAAGTAACCGCACATTATTTTGCAAAGTTTTGAGACTTCTTGAGAAGCCGTATGTTGCGACTCGTTTCAATTGGAAATCAAATGTGAAGTGATATGTGTTTGCCAGTTAAGCTATACAAGACGGCAAAATATATTGCTTTAAATTTGAAATTGATGCCACTTTGTTGCTACAGTAGTGCTGATTGATAGTTCCTGCTCCTTTGCACACAATCAAATCATTCAATTTAACTCAAATACAGGTTTCCCTAACAGGATCATGCACAGCTTCAAAAGGACTGCCATGGAAGGCAGGCTTTAGCAAATCCATGCAAATGTAATACTGTAGGACAGGCAAATTTCGTCACATTTTATTATTCGTGTTCTCCTTGCAGACGAATTATTTCAAATTTGACCTTTCATTTACACATGTTTGACAATAACTTTATTAAAACAGAATCTTAACAAATGAGAACAAAGAGCATTTATTATTTAATTTCTGTTACTAATTCACACATTAAAAATGAGTGTTACACTTCCACTAGCCAACACACGTCCGAGGATTATCGCTATTGTTACTGCAGTTCACACTCAGTGTGACAGCCATTTTGCCAAGCAAAAAATAGAGAAAAAAATGCATCGGTATTTAGAGACTTATCATTCTGTATGTGACATCAACACACCATAAGCTGGGGTTACACAAAGAACAAAAAGCCCTGGTAATATTTGATGTATATAGAGCACATCGTTGTGAAGATTTTTTGAAAGAACTACACAACAACATCACCATTGTGTTTGTTTCAGCCTGTTGTACCGATCAGCTGCAACCCCTTGATCTTGCCATCAACAAACCTTTCAAGAACTCGCTGAAATCTAACTTTCAATTGTGGTACACTGACCGTATTTTGAAGGAAATGCAGATGTCAAAGTCAATTTGGTTAGTTAGTTAGTCTATTGAAAAACACCGGGAATTGTGTACTTACCGGTAGGGCTTCCAGCATAGGGCTTGCTGGCATTACAGATCAACTGAAGCCATTTCGCAAACATGTGGAATAAGTTGACAGTCACATGAATATTCCTAAGGTGCCAGATTTTTCAAGTTTTTAACTATTATTTGTGTAAACAAGTCATTGAAAATGACACAGTCCCCGTTAAATTTGTGAAAGTTCTATTTGCGCTCGTCATATTAAAGTGGAGGGGGTTGTCCTTGAAACTTGAGTTCCAAGTGGCGTATACAACAGATTGTTTATTTACATCAAAATACGTGTTCCATGTTGTAGTAATATGGCCAAAAATAAAAACACCCGTTACTTGGCCATCTTTGATCTGATTATGAAACACACTGATATGTATGATGTATGTGCCAAATACGAATGAAAATGGTACATAAATTGTGGGAAATATAGTAGTAAGGCCAAAAAGTCAGATGGCTGTCAATCGGCCATCCTTGACCAGATTTTAAAACAAATTGTCATGAACATGCATCCTAACATGTATAAAGTACATGTATGTGCCAAATATGTGCCGCATAAAAAAAAAAAAAACAAGATGCCTGCCAGTCGACCCAATTGCGAAATAAATCGTCATGGACATGTATCCTAACATGTATAATCTATGTGCCAAGTTTGAATGACAACTGACAAAGCATGTCCAAAATACAACATTTTCAAAAAACAAGATGGCTGCCAGTCAGCCATTTTGAATCGAATCGCTAAACCACTGCATGTGCATATGTCCCACATAAAGTACTAGGCACATGCAAAGAATGAACGGAATAGGTCCAAGGGATTCTGAGATATAGTGCGTCCGTCCGGAGACCGAATTATAAGTCCCCGTTTTTGTACTTCGTCCGAACGGGAACTAAAAAAATATTTATTGACTGTGAATACATTTTTTTTAAACAACAAAATAGAAACATTAAATGAATACGTTGTTTTTTTCACTGCCTGAATTGCGTGAATGCGGGTGTGTGGTGTGTTGTGTACATCGGTGGTAGTACAAAATACAGCGCCCCTAGCGACGAAATTAAAATAAATAAACCCAAAACGAAATTTTCACACATTTTAATTTTACTGCAGAGAGCCACCTCAGCGAACCACGAAAAAATTAAAATGCTAAAATAATTTCCCGTTCTACTGTAACACTTTCCTAAAAGAAACAAAACATTGTGACAGAGCTAGCATTCTTTATTCCACAACCACAGTCAGTCAAGGTACTTACCAAAATGCATGACAACATTGTGTCTCGGCGGCTGAATACTGTGTCACCCAAACACCTTTTGCATCGTCCACAGAAATTTTCTTGTATTTTTTCCTGATTTCATCAAGGGTTTCTAATTTTAACTGCCTACCAGTATTTGGACGGTATACACGGTATAATCTCCTCCTTAGATTGGTTGATGTTTGCATTGCTAGTATTGCTGTTCGTTTGTTGTTTCTCACCTACAAACAAGATTTATTTACTTAGTGTAATCATTCTATGATTCAGAGTGAATGACCTTTGACCTATTTTCAAAATTAACATGATTGAGAGCATGTATCTCTGCCCACCATAAATTTCCAACTTAAAACATAGTTTAACTTTGGTGACCTTGCCCTCTGTTATATAATATTATTTCCTTTATCATAGTTTGTTTCAATATGAATATGCATTGTCATAATTAATTTTGAATACAAACAAGTTTTAGGATTGAAACAGCAGTGGGAAAGCAGTCTACCAAAAGTCCTTGATTGATCCCACAATGTTTCTCTTACAGGGTTCGTATACCTGAAATAAAATAAGTTTTCCCAGGACTATTTCATCACAACTTTAGACAAAAATTAAAGCATGCCGCTCATTCATGGTACTTGCTCTATTCTATCTTCTGATAGAACACAACAGTATTTACTGTGAAATACTTTATTCCGCTTAGAATATATTTTCGCTATTTTCACTGACGGGACATTCAGTGAAAATAAAATCCAGCGAATTTACTTTTTTTCCTATATTTTACATTCAACTCATCAAAAATCAGTGAAAAAAATTTCATGCAAAACTCGAAAAAAACTTTTTCAGTAAAAATTAATTCCAGGTAAAATATAATATTTTACAGTATGCACATTACCTGCTGTGATACATAGAAGCCATCTTCACTTCCAGTTTGATCTTTCCATATATTAATAGCACCCTCCCATGATAAACCTCTCTCGGCACTCACCTGTGAACACACACAAAATACATAAAATAGTTATCTTTTCTGCTTATGAGTTTAAAAGTTCCTTTAATAAATACCAGAAAGCTGAGGCTATTGACATAACTGTCACATTTCATGATTGGCTACTGAACACCTAACTGGAGTCTATGGTGGGTATGAACTATGTGAATAGGCGGGTTCGGAGAACCGTCTGCCTAAATTCACTACGTTCAATTACCCACTTACTCTGGTCAGTCAAAATGACTATTTTGAACTGTAGGCAGAGTCAGACGTCGATATGTAGCGAGTTTTCCGAGCAAACAGAAAAATGATGAAAGTCTTTTCCCAGTCCAGGATGAAATACAATATTCAGTCAACACCCTAGTTAAGGCCCAAAAAAGGGGGGTGTCTTACATTGCCTGTGCTGTCCCCGGAGCAAGAAGCCAAAATGCTGCTACGGTGACAGGGTTTGGTGTGCCCGAGAAAGCTAGACCCCCAACCCAATTCTGGGGGGTAGTAAGCTTTCGAAGTACAAACCGAAACAGTTCTGCATGAGGGCATAGGCCGCAAAGCGGGACCTGGGAGCTTCTGTTGGAGTGCTGACGGTAGAGAAATCTGTCCGCATAAAATGCCGAGACTGACTTATTGCCTATGCGCAGGGACCCTTGTGGTTGTTCGGGCCTATCCTGCCTGCCTGGGCCAAAGCACAAAGACATGTGCCTGGCACCCCGTCCAAATCCTTAGTACGGTTTGGTAGCAACTCGGTGCTCAAACCGGGCAGAGAAGCAATTCCTCCTGACCCTCCAGGCAGACAAAAATTTGACAGCCGGGGGATGACGATCGGGTGAGGATCGTGTCCTGGGATTTGGTTCTAGACGAGAAACCTGATTCGTGTTTTTCGCACAACTTGACTGTCCATAACGGCGGTACATCATCCGAGAAGGACAATGCCCCCAGCTCTGGTCGTTGCCTCCCTGAGGCGAGGGCCAGTAGGAAGACTATTTTCAACGTGGTATTGATTTGAGTGGTACTGATCAGAGAGGCCCAAAGGGCGGTCTGCTTAGAGCGGACAACACAGCCAACAAGTCCAAGTTGGGCAGTTCCCTTGTATGGGGTCTTGGCATCTGGAAAGCAGTAAATAGTCTCTTAATAATAGGACAATCAGCTCGTCTTGTTCCCGTACGTTCTGAGTGGTGGGGGACAAGACCGACCTGTAGCCAACGATCGCTGCATAGGACAAACCCATTTCGTCAAACAGGTGGACGAAGGAGCCTGCTACCTGGCCAATAGAGGGATGGTATGGATCAATCTCCCTTCCGCTACGACCCAACGAATTTTGAATACTTGGCCCAGCTGGGCGATTCAAAGGAGATGGCAACTCGCTGGGTGCAGGTATGTGCAGGTAGGCCCCGCTTAAGTCTAGTGGGGCTAGCCAGTCGAAACGGTGGATTGAGAGAAGAACCCTGAATGGCGTCTCCATGTGGAACCGATCGAGGAGCACATACTGATTCAGTCTGCCTAGGTCCAAAACTGGACGCCGGCTACTTGTAGATTTGGTAGTACGAACACATTTGGGTAGAAGCCTGGACTTAGTTCCGGCTGATGTACCCTGTGTATGGCGCCTTTTCCCAGCAAACTGCTACTTCCTGTCTGATTGCTTCCGCCTTGCGGGAGTCCCCTGGCAGTGCCCAACAGGGGAGACACTGACGAGGGAGATGGAGATTTCAGCAGTATCCCGTAACAGGATGTCACCACCTGGAGCGGCCCAGGGATCGGTCACCCGCTGTCTCCAAACAGGACTACACCGGCCCAATCGGTGTACGACAGGAATATGTTGCCATGGGCTCGGCAGTTGCGAAGGAGGTGCTCTCTTCTCCCATGAGGTGAGTTCCCCAAGGCCTGAAGTAGTCACTAAGTTGTGACCTGGCCACTCGCCGAACACATGCCTGTGGCCCACCAGTAAATGTGTCGCCTGGTCTAGGAGGCTGGTGCGTCCTGCCTCCGAGGTCTCAGAGTCTTGGGCGTGCACAATAATGCGCTCAAGCAACTCTGCCCTCAGGGCTGGATGGGTAGTCTCTGATTGAGCTAGCGAGAACACCCATGGAACGCGGCTGTCCCTCTTTGCCTGGTTTGCCAAACGGAAATTCGTGGTACCGGGGTCTGGGGAAGGAGCCTTGGGATCCGGTTGGGGGAGTTTTGGTCTTATCCTACACTATGGGGTCTGATCCCGAAACCACACCGACCGGGTAGCGTTTGGTCTAGCGAGAAGTGTTGCCTAATGTTTTCCCCACCCGGGGGCCTTAAGTGTTATGTCCTCCGTGGCTGACCAACATCCGCCCATCAACACCGTTTGCGCCCTGCGCCCCACTCCGCACACGGACGGACAGGGAGAGACGTGCCGACGGGGTTGCTTTGGATCACGACGCCCGTGATCCCATAAGCATTGAAGCAACTTTAGGTGGTCGCCTTAGGATCAAGGGTGGGAGCATTTACATCGTATCACTGGGATCGATGATACTACATATCACCCCAAAAACGTGACTCACCGAGTCATTACGGATGGAAGACTCTGAGGGACCGCCCGGAGTACCGGCTGTATCTGACACAAGCAAACTGAGTCTCCCTTCACTTTAAATATGTGAGAGGGAGCTTGTTCGACTGTGCGTTTCATGACAGGGTCGGTTCTCTCTGGGGACGCCCGTGGGTTGGTAAGAAAGGAGTCAAAATCCCACAGCAGAGACTGGACACAAGGATAAATTTGTTACCGTTGTACCGTTACGGCGTGACAAACCCTGGCTGGCTGAAAGTTGGGAGAGTCAACGTGTGCCCTGCCCTGAAAGCCCTGCCCCGAGATCGGAGACTTGGCTGCCAGCACCCCGTTGACATTCAGTGCCCAAGGCTCCAGAGGCGGCCTGGTGCAATGAGCTTGAGTCTGAGCCTCAGCCTCACCCAAAATTAGTGGGAGAGCCGCGGCTGGGAACAGGGGTTCCCCGGAAGAGACGTGTTTGAATGCAAACATGCTTTCGTGTTTCTTCTTGCTTGTCCACCGAAGGGCCGCAGTGGAGACAGCTCGCTCCGACTGTGTCTGACCGAGAAAAAATAGTGGTACCTCCACCATCGGGCCTCGGACGTCCCGGTACAAGAAGCACCGGTAGCCGAGCTTGAGGACTTTCCACTCATGCCAAACACGCAACTCACTTTGACCGATTTGTTTACTGGACGCGCGACCTTGCTGTGAAAAAAACGAGCGATTTTGATGGCTCTGAAAGAAAAATCTCAGGCCTCAGAACTCCAGTGAAAAACACACGCCTTCACGGCAAAAACCCCGAACCCCGCACGCAGCTACAACAAAAGTATCTTGGATGCGGGTTCTATGCCGGTAAATTCTGAATATAACCACTGCACAGTCGACTTAAAACACGAGGAGACCAAAAAAAAACGGCAGCGAGCTCTGGTGCTGTCATTACATCTATACATTTCTAAATACATTGTAAACAAGCCATGCATGGCACAGTCCTCGTTAGTTATCAAATTTAAGATATATAGATTTGTTTATAGTAATATAGCTATATTCCATGTCAGGAATATGATTTTTTAACATTAAAATGATTGACATTTGTATCTGATCGTCAAACAAGTACTTGTCCATATTGAAAGATATTGCTCTGGAACAGCATTCAAAATCAGCCATTTTGAATACATGTATATATATAACCAGTCAAAGCATTTAAGAGATATGGGTCTAGAAGCCCAATCATTAAAGCAAAATGGCCGTCAGTCAGCCATTTTGAATTCAATCTGAAAAATAAAATGACGTGCATCAGGAACCCGTCTAATGTATGTGCCAAGTTTGAACGAAATCCATCCATAAATGCCAGAAATGCTTGCTATATGATGATTTTTTAGCACAAAAATGACCACTATTCGGGCATTTTGAATAGGATCGTCAAACCAATATATCTGTTTATCTATGACATGATGTATAATGAATATTTAAAAGTCAGAGATATGGCACGAGAGGCACATTCATTAAAACAAAATGGCCGCCAGTTGGTCATTTTTAATCTTATCTGAAAAACAAAATTATTTGCATCAAGGTCCCATAACGTCTAATGTATATACCAAGTTTGAACGAAATCCATCTGTAAACAGCCGAGAAATGCTTGATTTTTAGGATTTTTTAGCACAAAAATGGCCGCCATTCGGCCATCTTAAATCAGATCGTGAAACAAATTGATGTGCATAAGTATAATAACATGTATGATGTATGTGTGAAGTTTGATTGTGATTGGTCCAGGAATTTCTAAGATACAGGTCCGGACGCACGCACAGACGCACACACGCAGGTCAAAACATAAGTCCCCGTTTTCGAACTGCGTTCTGAACGGGGACTAATAAAAGACGACATGCATGAGGGAAATAAAATACAGTTGTAAAAGGTGTCGCCGCGAAACCAACAAGTGGTTACGTAGTGGCGCCGGGTTTTAATTTCTTTGTTGTGGAAAAAACATTACACACAAAAGGGAAAACGATACGAGGGTAAAAAAGAAAAGAAAAACTTATCATACCAGCTAGAATGTCGGATGCCGCGGCTGCAGCAATAACCCACGCTAGAAACCCGGACAGGAATAAAAGCAAACGAGCCAGGTAGAGCCGCTCAGAATCATTCCCGACGAGGCGGAGATGAAAAAAAGAGTGATTGTACAGCCGTTTATGACTGACGGGAGTCTATGGTAGGTAATTGAACGTAGTTAAAGACCCAGTAGCTGTA